GTTGATAAATGATGTTTTTGATTAGAAAAGAATTTCGATGGTGTGAGTATTTTTATATAGTATTATATGAAAAATCTATTTTTGCCAAACCTGATTATTTTACGGGGTTGGGTAGTACTTACTTAGCTCTAAAGCTAATTTTTGTTTCCTTTTCTTTGTTTCGTTTTCTGCACTTTATTTGTGCAGGTAATGATGAATACGAAGCTCATGATGTTTGATGAACCTGGAGAGCGCTTTAGAAGAATTTAGTGTAGTCTTCACTTAGATTAAATAATGTTATTAGATTTTGAATTCAAGTTTTTAATTCGGTTGAACTCATGGTGGATAGCCTTAACATCCAGCCAAGTTGAGGGCTGGGTGTGGCGGTAACACACCCTTTTTCCATTACTGTTATTTCCGCTGCAAAACTCTATCTATTTTTAAAGAATAAATCAAGATTGTTATCAATATATTATTATTTCAAGTATTATTTTGGGCGGGAAAAATGGGGGTGTTACAAATTTATAGCCTTGAAACCGCCGTGTCAAGAACCAATCAGGGAGCGACACGTCACTAGGAGCATTTAAGCTAAACACGTGTGTAATGAAAAGACTAAACGACGGTTACCATGATGAATATGGGGAAATGAAGCGGCAGCCGTCAAATCGCAACATGGGGAACTGATTACTTCTGTACCCCGATCGCCATTCGGGGTATTATAACATTGATATTCATACTTCCTAATGCACTCACTATCGTTCGAGACATCGGAAGTGGGGGACTTGTGTTGGGATATTGATCCAGAGGCCCAATACCCGGGTCCGGAAGGCCCAATACCCGGGTCCGGAAGGCCCAAGATATCCGGCCCAAGAAACGGGCCCATCACGCTACGATGAGATAATCAAGGTAGAATTAATACCGAACGAGATTCGGCCCAAATAAGAGTTGGCCCAGTAAGGAGACATACCGAACGGGGTTCGGACTATATATCATATTTGGGCCAATTTGACAGCATCTTCAGTACAGCCCAACATCCCGTTCGAGCAACGGCCAACCAGCAAGTGGCTAGGTGCAATTAATGCTAGACTGTGACATCAGCAAGTGGAAGCATGGATGACCAAGTCGGTGGAACAACGGCCAATCAGCATGGGGCAGCCCATGCTCTCCATTAGTATAAATAGAAGGTTTCAAGTCATTGTAAGGGTTAGCATTTCAATACTCAGGCTCTAGAATAGCATTATTGCTCTTATTTCTTGTATTAAAGCAGTGTTTCCGACCTACCGTTCGGGAAATTCCTTGTAATCAGACTGGTTAATTAATATAAGTGGGCTTTCGAGTATTAGTGAGTTCAGATTTTATATTTCGTTTATACACTTTGATTCTGTGCCATTCCTGATATATCCAAAGTTCGTGTTGGGCTTTCGGATCTACGGGATTTACCTTCAACAGGTAATAATCAACTTAAAAAGCAATGACGCGAATATTTGAGAGTTAGACGTGTTAAATATTGTGTTTTTTTCTAAAGATTTGTCTATTTGTTGGCATAGTACTTATAACTTAATTGTTATATTTATTAGATTTAAAAATAATTTTTATTTCTTTTTTAAAAGAAGTTGCTAACTACATTATAGAACCGGTTGAGATTGACACTATGGAAAAAATCGCAAAGTTTTGGCGTTTTTTTATAACACAACTCAAACTTTTAGTCATGTTTATAAACCTACGTCAAACCAAATTTTATTTAATCTGTTAATCTCGCCGGTGCTTTTTCTGAATTTTCCAATGCTCCTTTCATTATTTTTGTGATTTCATGAAAGAAAAGTTTTTAAAACATTATGCCTTACTTCCGCCTATATATGGCATTGTCTTTGTTCTTTATCCTCATTTTTTTTGAAAAGGAGAATTTTATTGATAGATTAAAAATAGTACAAAACGAAAAGGAAACTAAAGAAAGAAAATAATACAATAAAAGTGCAGTGAGGGAAAAGTGTGACACTTCAAAAAATTTAAATAAAAATAAAAATAATTTTTAATCAGATAAAACATTACGAAAATAACATTTTAATTATTAATTGAGTCAGACAAAAATTCAACAGTTGTAAAATTCTAAACAGATAAAATTTCAAAATTTATGACGTTTTAGTCAGATAAAAATATTCCAGTAATAGGAACAACATTTTATTAAACAAGTAAACCAGACAGAAAATTTCCAAGTTTACGACTTTTTAATCAGATAAAAATGGCCCGATAATAGAAGTTATGTTTTAGTATAAAATTAATTTTTATATAACTATTTTAGGTTGTATAATATACAAAGTATAAACTAAATAATTAAAATACTCATATATATACGTAAGTAATAATAATAGTATAACCTACTTGGTAATACATACGTAATATATATAAACTAAACTATACCTACGTACTACTAATAGAATACAGTTACCAAAATACTACTCCTAATCAAACTAAACAACGAACGATCGAAGCAAGAAACTCACCACCGAGAGGAGTCCGCCAGCTTCAAAAACGAAACTGATTAAACTCCAACTCCAACTCTAACATCTCAGCTTAAAACCCTCATCTTCCCCTATAAATAATAGGCCAGAACATGCGTTTTCTTCATCCCAAAAACTAAGAAATATACATATATACGTATTTATATATATTTTTACGACCCAGCGTTTTAGCCAGAAACAAGCCTTGAAAATACTTCTCAATTCTTCCCCTTCGTAATACGAATCCAACGGAAAAAGAATCGTCGAAAACGGTCGTGAAACGAAGGAGAAAAGCCTCGCCGGAGTTTCGCCGGAGAAAAAACATTTCGACGGAAAACGGAGAAAAGGGAGGAGCTGCCGCCGCCGCCGGACCACCACTGACCTTCGCCGCCCTGCTGCCACCATTTTCGGCCGTTCTCTCGTCCAAACGGAGTAAGTTCTCCCCCCCCCCCCCCCCCCTGTTTTTCCCGTTTTCCGGCGAAGCATTGGGGAAGATGACCCAGCTGCTGGTTTTGGGCCTTTTTCAGGATTGGGCCAGAAAATAAAATTTGGCCCAGTTAGGCCCAGTTACAATAAAAATTAAAAATAAAATAGTAAATAAAATAAATAAAATCTGGAAAAATATAAATTAAATACCTAGTATAAATATACATATTCGGACCAACCAGAATTGGAAAATAATATTTTTAGCTATTTTGTAATTGATTTAATGGTAATTGGGCCAATTTATACACATTTAGTAAATAATTAACTAAATAATGAAAATAATTATGAAATAAATATTGGAGTAAACTAGGTTAAATATATGACTAACTAGGACCTTATGGACCATTTATAATTAATAAAAATAAGGTTTAGTATATTTAATTATAAATGAACCGGTTAATAAATATATGAAATTAAAGGAATAATTATGGAAAATAATTATAAAAATAATATTCTGGACTAAAAATAATGTTTGAATAAAATAAGGAAAATAAATGTATTCGGTTATGTAAATAAAGTAATTAAATAGTATTTTATAAGTAGAGTAAATTAATGGTGATTATTGAATAAAAATTTAGATGTTGTAGTTAATTATATTCGGATATTTTATTTCAAATATTGAAAATTAATGGATAAAATTATTAAGGTAATTTTATTAATAGAAAGTAAGTAATCAAATAAATTCGGATAATTAATAAATTAAGTTAATAAATTCGAATAATAAAGTAAAAGGAGAAAATCTGGTAAGGTAATTACAAATAGAATAAGTGACTAATTTTATCATATTTAATTAAAAAGGTGATTATCTAGAGACCGGATTAGAGGAGGATAACTAGGAGCAACAGGACTTAAGGTAAGTTTCTCTGCCAATCCAAAATTGTTTCCTCGTATTATATGCTTATTATGCATTATGTGATTAAGTGTGATTTGTGAATTTTGTGTATGTGATTTTGAGAAGATATTATATATATGGTAGTTAAGAAGTATAAATCAAGAACTTTTGGGGTATTAAATATTTTTAAATACCTTTGAGACTTTTAGAGAAATTAAGAAGTATTTTTGAAGTATTGTTAAGCAAAGATAAAATTTACATTTTCATAAGAAGATAGCATCTCGGGAGTAATCCGAGGTGTCGGTTTTTCCACATCCGGATAAATGTGGAGGGTGATTAGAGCTACTACTACTAAGAAGTAAAGTTTGGATCTATGATCCCTTTTAAGCAAGATTTGGATCTATGATCCCTTTTAAGCAAGATTTGGATCTATGATCCCTTTTAAGTGAGATTTGGATCTATGATCCCTTTTAAGAAGAAGTTATAGTAGTAGTCCCTAATCATTCAAGAATTTTAGAATTGGGGTGGTTGGGTTCCGACCACTCGGGATGACTTACTACTCGGAGGGCTTGGAATCCCTTTTAGGGGGTGTGCACACTTAAGGTAGTCGTTTCGTTTCCAACAGAGCAGTTGTGGTACCGGCACTTGTTCGGGGTGGCCGTCCGTAACCACGGTCCACCGGGCTCTACCGAAAGGTTAAGCACCGCCCTTCTAAATTACTAGGAAGTTAGAGAAGAAGTGATTTTTTTGAGGAAATCAAAGAGAAGAGTTATTATGAAGTTTTAAAGAGAAGTTGAGCATTTTTGTAAAGAAGTAGTTTGAGAAAAATCAAAGTGAAAAGAATTTTGATGGTGTGAGTATTTTTATATATTATTATATAAAAATCTATTTTTAGTCAAACCTGATTATTTTACGGGGTTGGGTAGTACTTACTTAGCTCTAAAGCTAATTTTTGTTATTTTTCTTGTCTCTCTCTTCTCCCTTAAATTTTATCAGGTGATGAGTTGGATACCTATGTGGATTGACGGATTGCTCGAGCTTGAGTGCGAATTAGAAGATGCCTTAGTTAAATCTAGTCATACATCAAACATTTACTTATTATTACATTAGTTTTTATTGTTTTACTTTGAGTTGCCTGTGCATTCGGTTAAGAGATGACCGAATGTGGCGGTAACACTCATTTCTCTTTTAGACTTCCGCTGTATTTCTTCAACTCTTTGATGAATGAATAAAGTATTTCTTTTAAATATATCAATGTTTTGGGCGGGAAATTTAGGGGTGTTACAAAAAGCCTCAAAACTAAACCCAAAGGAATTCTCTAGATTGCGACCTAGTCTTCATACTGTGACGCCTCTTATTTTTTTTGAGATTTCCTGTATATCTTGAGTTGTGTGTTCAAGTTTTCTGTCGGCAGACAGTTTTCTGAGGTAACAAACTTGGATTTCCTGCAAATTGCCTTGTTGAATTTTGATTTCTTAATTTCTGCTGGAGTTGAGATAGGTGGACGATGGTCACTTTCAGTAGCATGTCCCAGAAAGTCGTCCATGTAAAAAGAGTCATCTGAGTGGTAAAAGCAGCCTGAAGCATCTGAAAATGCCTGAATAAGCATGATCTCTTTCTCAGGAGGTGGGGACCAATGCTTCTCTAGGTAGGCTCCCTGAATTTGAAAATAAAAAATGAGCTTGGATATTGATGTGGGTTCGTCTGTAATAAACGGTGTTTCTTGTGGGCGGTGCATTGGTTCCTCCTGCTCTAAATTAGAAATTCCCACGAAATTTGAAAATATCGCTAGAAAATCGAGTAGTCCTGAATTTTTTGAGCCCACCGGGATCACAATGAAATATCCTTTATCTTTGGCAATTTTTATGAAGCCACCAGCCTTGTTAAAATCGGATGAGACCGAGATAGGTCCAAATCGCCTCAGTTGCCGACTGAAAAAATATTTATAGCTCGCAATTTTTGTGAGCTATAAATATACCGGATGATTTGAGGCGCCAATTCAAGATTAAAACTAATCTTGTGAAGTTGAGCTTTCTTGATCTCAAAAATTGTGATTTCCTCATGTTTTTTTCCGAACTTAAAGAGTTTGGATTCCAATTTAATAGAGTCAAATCCTTCTTCACCAAAGAATTGAAATTTTTCTACCTCGGAATAGTCATCATTGGAAGCCTTGATTAATTCCGTCCGGCCAGAAGGTACCGAGTCCCTGGGAGATGGGGGTGATGGGGCTTGTCTATTTTTTGGACCGTATCAGACTGTAGAAGGTCTGCCCACATGATGGCTGGGAGGAGTGCCTGTCGTTGTGTGGCCAATCTGCTCTGGCTGTCTGAGGTTGCCTTGCCAGCAGCGGTACCTTTGCTAGAGGGACCTGTACCTGGGAGTGGTGGGCAACCGGTGCACAGAGAAGCGTTGTTCCTGCTGTCTGCAGGTAATGGGTCCTTCCTCGATGAGCTTGCCACCGTTCCTTGAATCGGAGTATCCGTTATCGGTAGGTTGCCGGTCTTCAGCGAGGATGCCGACTTGTGACTGAATTCAGGAGGAGGTATCATGATGCTCTGGCTCTTCTCCCACCCTAATTGTCGGTCGTTCGCAAATTGCCCCCTTTCGACCCTGTTGTTTTCCCCTCTTGTACTCTGATTATCATTGATATTGTTGAGCAAGTAATCATTTTCGAGTGTAGAATCGAAGATTTGGGCTGAGGAAAGGAGTTCTTCGTCGAATCCAAAAGGATTGTGATGAATGGCGTTGCCTTTACCTAATTCGTTCTCTGAGATGCGTTGGGGTGACTGATCATGGTATTTGGGGTATCGCCGTCCCCTTTGCGTGACCATACGCCAACCCTCTTCTTCCCGATTCATGGCCGCCGGTGGCCAGTCCAGTTGACGCTTATTAGCGTCATTTCGGTCCCAAATGGGAGATCCGATAGGGAGAGTTCCCGTTTTGACTGAAGATAAGCCTATAGATCCTACTACTACTTATCAACAATGTTTAAAGTACTATTATACTTGTTTTTTCGGTCGATTACCTATGTCTGAAGATAAGCCTATAGATCCTAAAGAGCAATACAATGAAGTAAGTAATTTATTTCATCAATTATTTAATGAATTTCATGCACATTATGGTAATGCACCCCCCTCCCTTGAAACCAACTATTTCTTCATCTAAAAGAAAATCATTTTTCAAATCTACATTTAGTAATCTTTTGAAAAAAAATAACTCTCCGTATTGCACAAAACTCGATTAACGAACTTTTTTTATATCTATGGTTTCTTTGTGAGTATGAAGAAGGTGATGATTTTGACATTCTCAAATGGTGGAAGGACAAATGAGTGTTTCTGATTTTATCGAAGAAGGCGAAACAAGTGCTATCAATGTCGGTGTCAAGTGTCAACAATAACAGTGGAACAAGATTTAGCGAAGCCGACACCGTTCTTACGAGTTGTAGAACGAGATTGAGCGCACAATCTTTTGAGACGCTCATTTGCTTCCACGATTGGTTAAAGGCCAACATAGAACTCAAGAAGTTTGCATTGCCTCCGACATCCACTTCATGGAGGAAAACAACAACCAACACTAACGATGATTCCGAGTAATTTATAGCAAATGTATTTAATGTTTTAAATGATCCTGAATTCTCAATTGTACTGCATATTTCAAATAAAAGTAAATTCTCTAAATAGGAGTAAAAAAATTGAAATTCCAAAATAGGACTATCATGTTTTTTATTCCCTAAATAGAAGTAAATTTCTACCAAGTTTGACATTACTGGGCTTTTAAACATGGCATTTTTTCCCAAACGTGACAGATTACTCCTATTCAAGGAATAAAAAACACGATACTCCTATTTTGGAATTTCAAAACGTTTTTACTCCTATTTAGGGCAATTTCTATTCAAATAAATATATATTTAATCTTTAATGCCTAGCACTTGTTGAATTAATTTGAAAAACAATTAACCATAGGACCGGCCCGGACCCCGGTACCCAGACCAAAAATGGTACCAATACAAACCGGGCCAGTACCTAAGCCCGCCAGGATCGAGTCCAGGCCCAACCCGGCCCGAGTCCATCTCTACCCACAACCAATGAATAGTTCATAAACTGTCCAGTTGGAATCACAGCTAAACCCGGCCCGAGTCCATCTCTACCCACATAAAGGAAATGTTAATAGTGAAGAGAATCACAGCTAAACTCGACTCAGTTGGAACACATTGAAATTTTCAAGTAGCCCTCCGCAGGAGGAACAACAATTTATAGTTACATCCATTATACAAGGTCCTTTGATGAGAAACTAAATTCCAATAGTCGTTCTTATCAATCAACATGAGCATTCGAAAGATGTGCAAATGCCGAGTACAACTCAGAATCTTGAAAATAACAGCTTCATACGCATAAATATCCCAGTCACTTTTTATCCTCCTCTTTTGGATCCTTGTCCTCGTCTTTCTCCTGGGTCTAATTAGCAAAAAAAAAAACAGAACACTCAAAACTTGTTCACAAACAATTAACTGAACACTATTTGTACGCTCTTACACTTTTTATACACAATATAAATACCCCACCCCTCTCAGCCTCTCCCCTCACCCCCTTCTCTCCCCTTTCCCACTCCCTCCCCCCTAAACATCTCCATCCTCCCCTTCTCTGCCCTTTCATTTCTAAATTTTTCTTTACTTGCACAAAATTTCTCTCCTTTCCCTCTCCTCTCTCTATCCCTACAGACTCGCATCTTTTTCCCTGCTTCATGGTCACGCAGAAAACTGTAACGCTGGTTTGTGTCATTGTGTGCCAGTGAGAAAATCTTAACCAAAAACTCATATTTTGTTTACACGAACAACTATTGTATGCATCATTGATATGCACGCACACCTCTCATACAAATCTATCAGAAAATCCCGTAATTTATTCAAAGGCAACTATTGTACATATGAACAGACATTGGTTTGTGCACCCGTCAGTGTACCTTTGACATGAAACTAATGTCAGGGCACCACACAAGAGTTGCAACAACAGTTAACAATAGTTGTCGTTTATGCCCACGCATAATTGTCTATGTCAACTCATAGTTGTCCTTGCATGTGACCGACCAAATGTGTAAACAAAGTGAAAGCCTTTATGTTCACGAAGCAGCTCTGAACAATTTAACATAGTATTCACAGACACCTACTTCTATTAGATACGTAGTATTAGATAGTGTTGGGACATGCAGTTGAAGAGTCATATCTTAATGGTATCTTAAGGATCAGAACCATTGCTCACAATTTAGGTTAATCCTTTTTAAATGTGCCAATTTTGCAGCTAAGCACTGAGGTATAATTGGTAAAAAATGTTGTTTGGATACAGATTTTGCAGTTGAGAGAAAATGATGTGGGGCATGTGGCCCTCACAAAATATGTGTGAAAGTGGAGGAAAAAAGTTGAAAAGACAAAATTTGGAGTAATTGTAGGCTTAACCTTGCAATGTTTTCTATACAGTGAGGATAAAATGTCTTTACAAAAAAGATCAAGTATTGTCCGCTTATACATCTTTCCTAATTCTTCCATCTAAACACACCAAATATCTACACACAAAGCATAAAGGTGAGAATATAAATAAAGTAAATCAATCCATCACATATGAAGGAAAAGTGGCAAAGCTTGACGATCAAATACCAACACCTAGACTTGACTCAATAAGACCGAGTATGCCCTTGGATAGTGGGAGAGATTTAAGCGCTTTTATGCTATTGTTAACTCAATTTAATTTTTTTATTCTCTTTTCTTACTTCATTGCTAGATATTTACAATGTTGATCCTACACACAAGAAGCAAATAGCCACAGATATATCTATCATCTTGAAACACGCTGCTTTTATTCAATCTACTGAATAATTTACCAAATGCATAACTAAACCATGATAACCAAAGTGTAAATCTGACAGCCTCCCATTGGAATGGACCAAAATACAATACTTCAAAAGTTAAAAGAAATATTTTATGGAATACAGTTTTCTTAAAAGTATTTATTTCAAGTTTTTATGTTCTACATTTAGTCTTCGTTTAACCGTGAGAGTGTGAGACCCCTGTCACAGGAGAATGCCTCAACCTCGATTCACTTGTAACTAGGGTTTCCTCATAAGACAATTAAATGACTCCCTGGCAGACTGCCAGAGACCAAGAATGGCAAAAGAATAGGACACCTGTGCAGTTTTAGTTTTGACTAGACAATATGAACTCACCTCGGACTGACTTTGCATGGAAGCTAGTAGATCTTTAACTGATGGATCATTGGGGTCCACCCCTGGAAGCTGTGTATAATGAGATGCACTTTGGCCATTAGCAATATGCCAATGTCAACATGTCTCCAAAGATATGTACAAAAAGTTTGACACTGAAAAAGAATCATGAATGAGTAATGCATCTAAATACTTACAGAAGCGAGAATAGAAGACACAAAAGACTGATCAGCCAACAACTTGCTCATGTCAGTCGGATTTGACTGGTCTTTTGTACTGTCTTGCACTGATAATTGAAGGGCTGCAAGAATTACCAGGATAACAAAATAAGATAGAAGCTACAGCTACAATAAAATAAAATATATACATGTATGAGTCAGTTCAAACTATTCTATGAGATGATAGTATCTCCAGATACTAAATTGTTGACCAGAGATACACAAGGGCTATGAGCCTAGCAGAAAGTCCAACCTAAACAGTGCAATTTGAGTTTCAAAGTTGAACTTAGCTTTTAAAAACCCTAAGCGGAGACATGTTTTTTCAACCTTGAAAGAATGAAAGAAAATTATGAAGGGTACCTTTAAACAATGCTAGCATCGACCTATTTGAGCTATAATTTGAAAAGGTCAAAGGGATAAGTAAGTGAAAAGGCTTTCCTAACAGGACGAAAGTAGAATCCCTATTTCTCAGATTGCAACAATAGCAAGACATACATGCTTCCATCAATAAATATAGCTTTGAGTAGATCCATCAAAACAAATAAATTATCACATCTAATAAATTACCAAGTGCCAGGTCTTGATCTTCAGATGCTGCTTCTGACATGTCGGCATCTCGTATGATAATGTTAGCTGCAGAATCATCCATGGACATTGCAAGGGCTTGTTGTAATAAAGCATTTTCATCATCCTAAAAGAGATCAGAGAACCTCTGTGTTAAATGCAATTGTTCAATAAAATTGAAACACTTTCTACATTGTTGAGTGACATAAATTGTTCACACACCATCAGAGTAGCTGCTTTATTTTCTGATTCAGAAGTTCCAGCTGCAACACTGTCAGCCATTGTCACGTCTTGGGAAGCATTCTGATTTTCTCCTTTATCGTCTTTTGCAGCCTCCTCTGTGGCCTTTTTAGCAGCTGCCTCCTGCCTTGCTCTTTCTTCTTCCATTGAAACTCGAAGTGCAAGGGCAAGTTCAGGATCCAGGTTAGGATCGACACCGAAGTCAAAGCCAGATGCTCCTCCAGCCGCAGCCGCTGCAGCTGAAGCAGCAAACCCACTTCCACCCTCACCATCACCGGTAAAGATAGGGGTGCTGCCAAATAAAGAACAGCTGATTGGTCTGGCATTCAATTCTAATTTTGAATAGAAAGATTCAAATTTACTATATGGCTAGTAACCTTATTAGAACATCTGAAAGAGCATGAGGACCAGGAGGAACATGAACAATGTGACTGCTATCATTGTTGTTTACAGCGGCAACAAGTGCTTCAAGCTTCTCAGTTTTTGCTTCATCTTCTTCGCCAAAATTAACAACATCTAGAGCTACACTGTTCTTTTTTAACTTTTTCCCAATCATCTCCAAAACCTTCTTGTCATATTTGACAGGACTGAAACGTGCAATATACCTATGTAAAATAACTGAGACAGAAAAAGCTATACCCAAAAATTCAATAAATAATAATGACCTCCCAGCGAAAACAATAATTCTCTGTTGCTGTTTTTTGTTTTGGCGATGCTTGAGGGCCAACTGGGCTACCTGAATTCCTGCTGCCAAGTTCATTTCACCACCTATTTCCAGCCCTATATATGAAATAATACAAATTTGTTGTGAGATCTTATAATAAACTAGAAGGCCAAAATAAAAGGAGGAAAGAACATTGTCACATAGAAGAAACTTTTTGTACCAACTTGTTGATATAATATGAAATCCTCAAAATAGAAATAGAAACAGAAAGTACTGAATTGCAACTGTTCATAAAGGTAACAGTTTCAATTTGTTTCCTTTCACTGCCAGGCTACCAGCCACAAACACGGCACCATTTCAAATGAATTGAACATTTAAGCCATTAAATGCATACCAGTTCTCCATAGTTATCTACTTTTCAACTACAAATACTGCTGGAAACTAACAATTTAACAGCTCAAGTTGCTTTGAAAGTGGTACCAACCCCGTTCGTATTTGTTTTTTAATTTAATAGCCAAACATTAAGCAAAAGAACAATAACTAAGCATCTAACAAGTTGGAGTTGTAAAGCTAACCGTGCATGCAAGCTAGGATCTTCCCAAGATCACTGGTAGGAGTGACCAAAACGCGAACGCCCTTACCAGCCATCGTCAATACCCCAACTGTATTCTCCGGATTAGCCTGCATAATCATACGGAGTACATAATTACCACACTCAATGAAGGAAATAATAACAGTTGAATCAGCTCAAACCAAACATATAAGATAAAGAGAAGCGTTCAAATTTCCTCTAACACGTAGCTATGGCAGTGAAACTACCATATGAATCGAATATATACGGTTATAATAATAAAACAACCTGAGTTTTAGCCCCACAGATGAGATTAACGGCGTCAGCTTGAGCTTGAAATCTACTGGGCGAGTAATCTCCGTTTCGCATCCACTCCGAATTGTCGATGCAGATCATCGTCGCCTGAAAAACAAATTATTGAAATAAAAAGGTGAGAAAACGATGAGATGGGCGAACCCTAATGTGTAAAACTGCACACCCCCAATTCGACGTTAGTACCTCGAGAACCATGGTTACAGATTGAATGCGAGTTAGAGCGGCTCTTTTGAACTCCCGTATATATTTCCTCCTTTGCACGCCAGAAGAAGGTATCCCAGTCTTCGCTGCCTCTGGTCACTTGATAAAGAAATATATGTGTCCGGCCAAAGGAGCAGGCCGGCCGGCTTAAAACCTCCAAACGAGTTGGGAACTTGGGATTGGGATCATGCCGCGGGCCGAACGAGTTGGGATTGGGATCATGCCCCGGGCCGAAGGAGCTGTGGTCATAAAAATTGAACCCATACCGAACCAGCTCATAATGGTATAGTACCGAGTAACAGGTATTTAACTGGTTCCATAATTTTTTATCCTAAATCAAAACTACTACCTATATCATTTGAAGTGGATATAGGAATGATTCTTGATTTGGGGAACCGAATAATACCGGACTCTACTATTCTAAATTACTAATTTCATCCCGTTGGAAGGTCCCATAATGAAACGACACGGTCATTTAAGCAATAATTAAATAAATTACTTTGAGTATATTTTGAGAAATAATTTTAATAAGTATATATATTATAATGTAGTTAGTATTGATAACGGTGATGTTATAAATGTATTATTTTTAATATTTAATGATTAATTTGTCACTTAAGATTGTTAATTATTTCTTAAAATGAAAATGAGAACCTTTATATGGGACATCCAAAAAAGGAAAATGAGAACCTTCTAATGGGACGAAGGGAGTAATATATTTGACATTTTATATTTTTTCCCAACCCAATAAATCTTGTTGAGGCCAACAGTTATACGAGAGAGGGTAGAGACTAAGGTCTAATGGAGTTAGTGTGTTCCTGTTTTGTTTTATACGAGAGAGGGCTGCAGAAATTATTCTTGTGATTCACGCAACAATCCAAGCAGTTAGTGTGTTCTTCTTTTGTTTTATAGGAATTATTTTGTACGTAGTACGATAGTATATGATGGTTGGGGTAATTTGTGACACCCCACCCGAATGTACTTGAATTTGAAATTAAGTACGTGTTTGAATTTTTCCGACAAGTGGTGGGGACGAACGTCCCCACGATCTTGTTTCCTGTGTCCTGCTTGCTCCAAGGCCAGGTTTCCGTACGTACGTTGTAACACCGTCCCCATATGTATTTACTTTTTAGTAACTTATGAAATAAACCTTGAAGAATGATTTATGAATTTACGTGGTTGTAATTTTTTATTAGTTCTTTTGCGTGAATAGTAAATAGCACGCGGGGCCCACACTGGGGACGGGGACCATCCGATAATTTCGGGACCACACATTATATTTATCTTGGACTAGATAATATTCATATGGTGCTGGATATTTTATTTGGGCCATAGAAAGGACATAGAAATGACCCGTTGGTCAAACGAGGCCCAATTACCGGTATTGGTAATTTATCGGATAACAGCCCGAATTGAATTTCAGAGACTTCTAAATCAAATTTTAGGAATGTATATCCATTCTAAGGTCCAATAAGGATTGAGAACAAGTGTTATATTTTATTTGACCCGATAAAATAAAATATAATTAAAATAGTCCGAAAAATACAACTTTCGGGGCCGATTGTACACATCGGGACATAAGGGGATGATCTCCCACATAAGTGGGGGCTACCCCACGATTTTACGAGTGAAGATATCAAGGGGAGCCGTACAACCTTATGGGAAATAAGGAAGAAGTGATTGGAGGCCAAACCAATAAAGGAAATGGGGACCCTCCCCCATGTTATTATTGTGAGAAATGCCAAAAAGGCATTCTCAATCAACAACACATCCTCCAGCTCAACCCAGCCCTCAAACAAGGTGAGAGAAGCTTTGCAATACTCGATTTTTACCAGCCATTTCCGCACCAAGTCTAAGGAAGAAGAAGGAGAGAAATAGAGAAGAGAAAAGAGGAGGTTAGGGAGGAAAACTTGATTTTAACAAGGTAATGACTCCGTTAATCCCATTCCTTTTCCTTTAATCTTTTCATGTGATTATGTAATCATATTTCACACCCTAGGATTGTTCTACATGTTTAGAAGTGTGGAATGAGGGGTTGGAAGGTAGTTCTAAGTCCAAGAACAGCCTTAGAAGCCAAAGTGACCGGTTCGCCGGAAAATAACCTTTTAGAGGTTATTTGTATTAATATGGGTTTTGTGATTATGAAACCTTGTTAGGAACTTGTCTAAGGTGTTCCTAGCATTCCTACGAAGTTGGAATACTTCTCCGGAGTTTTGCCGGAGTTCAACAAAACTCGTCGGAGTTTCACCGGAGTTCAACCAAGAAGGGTAGAACACATTAAAGCTTCGTTTAAGGTGAGAAGACGGCTATATGCTTTATAACTTTTGCGTGAGGCATGAGATTACCTAAATTAATCAAGAATATGTTTTATGAATTGATTAATGGTATTAAAGTATGTGTTATGTGATGTTAAAGAATATAACATAGTTGGAAAGCATGATTTGTAGGTTTGATTAGTGAAATTATTATAAATTGATATGTATGATGCTCCAAGGACCCAAATAAGTATTTTTGGATTAAGGGCGTCGAAGAGTACATGCATGTAAAATTTCACGTTAATCGAACTTTGTTTTGGTGGTGAAACGGGCGTTGACCGCCAAGTCAACTGTTATACCCGACCGGGTATTGTCAAATACCCGACCGGGTACGTACTGAAAAATTGCCCCAGGGGCTACTGCCTCCTATACCCGACCGCGTATAGGTAGGTACCCGACTGGGTATGTACTGAAAATTGCCCCAGGGGCTACTGCCTCCTATACCCGATTGGGTATATGTAGGTACTCGACCGGGTATTGGGTTTTACACCCAAACGGTCAGTTTTGAATGAGTATAACGTGGGGCGTCCGGGTGAGAACCGTCCACGTTGATTATTAAGGATTATTATATAACTATAGGGCTATGTATTGTCCATGGTTAAAGGAATGAAAGGTTAGCCATATCCATGATAGGGTTTGGTAAGGAATAAGGTTGGGGTTGAGCATCCCCGAGACGGTAAATGATCCTGAAACTCGGTTGGGGTTGAGTATCCCCGGGACGGTAAATGATCCTGAAACTCGGTTGGGGTTGAGTATCCCCGGGACGGTAAATGATCCTGAAACTCGGTTGGGGTTGAGTATCCCCGGGACGGTAAATGATCCTGAAACTCGGTTGAGGTTGAGTATCCCCGGGACGGTAAATGATCCCACAACTCGGTAGGATATTATGAATGTAGAACGTAGCTTGTGAGCTCGGCATTCGGGAATGGATGGGAAAGGTCGTGTAAGTACCTTATCTCTAAAAGACTCTTTAAATGAAAATTACCTACGAGTCAAGTATTTTTACAAGTATATATATGGTATGTATCATCTTGTGGATGGGGTAACAGTGGTTACACCTATACATATATGTATCACCCTATTTTTGGGTCTCGTGTCTGAAACATTAGTTATTCCTCATATAGCCTGCTTGTCACTAGTCCTTTCTATGAAGTACCGACCCCTTTGGGGGCCTCACATTTTTCAGGTTAAGGCTAGAGTCCTACTACCTGCACCTTTGCCTAGGGTAGACTTCAAATAAGGAAGACGTGGTTCGTGCTTCCATTCTTATTTGAAATTATGAAAGTGCTCATGGATATTTAAACAATGTTTTCTATTAAACTATTGAAGGGCCTGCGTGCTCATGTTTGCCACGTGTGGCTAATTGTCAAACATATTTTTTCCCGCATTTGTTTGACTAATATATTGATGTTGATTTTATGGATTTAGTAACCGGGTTTGACAATATAATCTATCGGACGCCTTGTATGATGTAATAGAGCGTATTAGAGCGTATTATATCTCGTTGGAAAGATAATTTGGTGCTCTAAAGATATTGTTCCAACTTCATTTACAATTCATTAATTAAAAGTTACAGATTAACCATATATTCACAAATGTTTCTGATTTCACTCCAAACTCGTGTAGAAATTGTTGCGATCATATCTGGCTCTATTTTGTTCCGTTGAAAGCGTTTAATATCTCGTTGGAAAGATCTTACCGAGTTCTAACACTTGTCTTCAGGCGCTGGTTTCAAACTATCAAGGGATGATTTCCTAATTACTAAAATACACTGTATTTCGCTAAAAGTGCTCTATTTACGCTAAAAACGCTAAATCAAGAGATTAGGCTAAGTATTTGTGACACTCATATCTTGCTATGTGTACTTCCGTTTGGAGCGTATTATATCTCGTTGGAAAGATAATTTGAAGCTATAAAGGTATTGTTCCAACTTTATTTACAATGCATTAATTAAAAGTTAAAGATTAACCATAAATTCACAAATGTTTCTGATTTCACTCCGAACTCGTGTAGAATTTGATGCGATCATATCTTGCTCTATTTTCTTCCGTTGAAAGTTTTTCATATCTCGTTGGAAAGATATTACCGACTTCTAAAACTTGTCTTCAGTCTCTTGTTTCAAAATATCAAGGGATTATTGCCTAATTACCAAAATAGACTGTATTTACGCTAAAAGGGCTCTATTTACGCTGAAAACGCTAAATCATAGAGATAAGCCTAAATATTTGTGACACTCATATCTTGATGTGTGTTTTTCCGATTTGAGCGTATTATATCTCGTTAGAAAGATAATTTGAATCTCTAAAGGTATTGTTCCAACTTCATTTACAATGCATTAATTAAAAGTTACATATTAACCATAAATTCACAAATGTTTCTGATATCACTCCGAACTCGTGTAGAATTTAATGCGAATATATCTTGCTCTATTTTGTTCCGTTGAAAGCGTTTAATATCTCGTTGGAAAGATATTACCGAGTTTTAAAACTTGTCTTCAGGCGCTGGTTTCAAAATATCAAGGGATGATTGCCTAATTACTAAAATACACTGTATTTACGCTAAAAATGCTCTATTTACGCTGAAAACGCTAAATCATAGAGATAAGACTAAGTATTTGTGACACTCATATCTTGCTGTGTGTTCTTCCGTCTCATCAACCTCATCCTCATCATCTTGAACAGCAGATGATGGCTCAGGCTTCAATACCATATTGCTGAGGTTCAGTGCCTTGAACTGCTCAGCTACTTGGCTCTGCAACTATGAGCTTAAATCCTCAATCTTGGCCTCCCCAAATATAACATAAGTGTCAGAAGTTGGGCTCTTGAAAACATCTGGTTTTGATATGACAAATAGGATATTCTTGCTCTTCTTGACAGTTACACAACTAATCCCAGTTATGGGCTTCATTCCTAGCTTTATCATTGCCTTGCGACTTTTCTTTTCGCACCTGCTTTGCTTCATTCTACT